TGAAACACGTCCTCCCTGTTGGCGTGGAAAACAGTGTGAAGAGAAAACAGAACTGCTGCTCAAGAGTCAACGCGTACTGTTTTCAGAATAATCTGAGAAGTAGTGTTGTTGTAGCAGTTCCTCTGTAAAGTCCCTTTAACCTCTTGCTGTACTCCCTTCTTTATTTCAGTGGAAACAAAAATGGAGGTCCTAGTATGACATCTTCTAACCATGCAGACGCTGTATGCCCCATAGACTACACCTGATAACAATTTTCATAAACTGGCCTTGGGGTAAATTGGCTTCTCTGTAAATATAGCATAAGAAATGCTTCCGTAATTCAGAAGAAAAAAATGTCACTAGACAGAGACTGAAAGAGATCTTTCACCTGCTGGGTTAAAGGAAGAACAAATACATTTAATTCGTAGAACTGATCGCATGAGATGTAACATCAAAGTTAGTTCTCGTTTTCTAACAGCCTATGTTATCTAATAATGTATACAAATGTAGAGACTTTAAATAGTGGAACCAATTTGGGTTCCACTATTTTGGATCTTCCCTATGCACTTTCTTTAATTAGGTCCTCAGACCTTTATATTCCTAATGTACAACTATGACTAGGTAAAATGGCTGTGGTCCCCCCCCATTCCTCATAAAATCATGAAAAAGTAACGAAAATACTGGCTATTGCTAGCTGTTTCTTCATAGATACACCATCTAATGCCTAACACAGTACTGTAGAAAAATATCTGCAAAATGCAAATCTACAATCTAGTGTCATTATTTGAATGTAAAAACAAATTTTAAAATAAACTTTCATATTAGCAATATTTAATTACTTGTGTAACATACTTTCAACTTGACTATACGTTTACTGTAAAAGTAGTTGTCCACGTACAAAAGGAAATTTTTAGTAGCTCAAGCTTTGGATGCTCATTATTACTAAATACAACCTTTGGCTAAAGGCACAATTCTTCATCTTTAAAATGAATGTATTGGATGATTATTTTTTCAAGGCAGATAAAGAAAGCAAAGATTCAGTCAAGGTGACAATTACCATCTGTCTAGCTACAGTAATTATGTGCTCCCAATTAAGTGTATGCTCATATTGAAAATCACCATATTTGTGTATTACTAGATGTACTAAAGTTATGTATATGACTGTCTGCTTTGAAGTCTGTTAACACAGGAGATAAAGATCATGAATAAATCTGTGTCAATGCCCTCTGTGAGTTAAGTTCCTTTCTACCACCTCTTCATACATGGATGCTACCGTTTACACTTCTTTTCTCTTTCCTCCACACCCTTCTCTTCCCTTTTTTGGGGACTGACTACCTGTTTGAGGGCTTACTGGGAGTACAACTAAGGACAGAATTAAAATCAGTTTAGCCTTGCACTCTCACAAGTACATAACAAGTTATAGGTTGCATACAGGATGCAGAACACTGCTCATGAGGATGAATACAGAAACAAACATGCCTTGAAAACTGTTAAAGGAAGCACTGTAATATCTGAACACTCTGGATTACTCCTGTGAATACATTTATACAGCTATAAGAAAACCAAGAGCAGTGTACTGTTTCATTCTTTTTATAGAATTTAAATCTTGTGAAATTTAATTTTCAAGTTACTGAAATTCAAAGCAATACAATTGCTTACAAACATATTTGACTAAATATATTCAGAAAATTCCTTCAAAACAAACTTGTAAAATTTTAGCCTTTTGAATTCCATGGGACTATTTCACCCTATGAACAAAACCAAAACATAAGCAGAATTTTTGTGACCAAATTCAATAGAAGCAAGATCAGGTACCATATAGAAATTAATGTCCAACTCTAGTAAGAACAATGTTTTACTTAAAAGACAATATTAAAATACTATTACCTCCAGCAAGGATCTTCTCTTCCAAATCATTCATTTGTTTCTTGTAAGCTTTTAAAGCAGCTTCTTTAAATGATGGTCGTATTCTCTTTTTCTTTGGAGTTTCAGTAAGCATCTCTGGGACATTCTGATTTTCATCTTCCCTTACTTCTATGTCAGCAGCCATGTCACTTTCAACTTCCAGTATCTCTTCACTGACCACACTGTCAAACTGCATGTCATATTGCTCCTCTGGTAGTATTGCATATAGAGTTTCATATGAAGGCTGCCCCAGTTCATATTCTTGGACCTGCTCACTAGTTTCACTACTATTAGTTCTATTTTCTAGTTTAGCAAGGACTTGTTCCATTACTTCCACATAGTCTGTTTCATTCTCACCAGGTAGTCCAATTAAGTCTTCCTCATACTCTGCTTTGTAGCAATAAGGCTCAGCATAAACATCAGAATCGAGTGTTGTACTCGATTCATTTGCAGTAGACTGAGATAAAGTTCTAAACCTTCCCATGAAAGATGATCCACTGTCTTCATATCCACTTAAACTTTGTGTACTTTTATTCCAGACTACTTCTAAAGCTGACTTAGCACGTTGAAGTGTAGATCCAAATTTAGGAAAGCTGAAAGTCTTATCAGAAAGATCTATGCTTAATCGGCTATGCCACGATTTAGGGGCTGTTTCTTCTGAGTCGTCGCTTGGTAGTTCACTCTGACTTCGGTACATCATAGGCAATCTGTTTTGATTCTGATAAGGGGAGATAGAATTTGCTTCCTGATAATCATCATATTGACCAGTCCACTGACTTTGTGATTCGCTATCAAGGCCTGGACACAATGGAGAAGTACCATCAAGGGTAAAATCGTAGCTTTCAGTATCATACTGGAGGTCAGAACTTTGGCACTTTCCAAAATCTGTCTGTTGATCTGAAGGGCTGCTCATATCATACACAAAAACTTCCTGCGTGGATGAGTCTAGGCCCAAATCTGCCCCTTGTTCCAACTGATTCCAGTCTTTCCACGGGGAAAGATCATCATGTAAAGAAAGCTGAGAATCACTATAGTGGCTTCTGTCTCCAGATGCACATATTATTCCATTGCTTACTCCACTGTCAACAGTTTCTGTGTTCTCTACTTCATTTTGCTCTGGATACTGTTGCATATCTTGGACAAACGTCTGTTCCTGGGAACTGCCATACCAGTTTGTAGAATCATCTTGCCTTCGCTGCCAAAGTTCTCGGTCGGAGGAAGACAATAGTGAACTGCCATTTGTTCTGCTAAAATACTGGTTTTCTGAAAAATCTTCAGAGTAAGACTGGCACAATTTTGAGAAATCTGACTCTGAACGGCTAAGTTTTGGTGTTGCAAAGTCATTCTGTAAATGCCATAGAGGAGTCACGTCTGAATAATAGGTCGTCGACTGTTTTTCCATGTTGTCAAATTCTGGTGACCGATTGCCATAATTTCTTCTGTCTGAAAAGGTGCTATTGTCAGCAGTTCTGTTAAGGTCTTTAGTGTCTGGGGACTCAATACTCCCCTTCGTAGCGCTTGGTTTTATTTGAAGTGCTGATTTAGATATCTTTGCATAACTGTTCTTATTTATATCTGATTCCAAGTCTTTATCACTGTCAGGTGACTCCCAGTCATGCATTTTAGGTTTTGTCTCCACAGTTAAAAGCTTCATATCCATACTCTCATACGTCTGAGAGGAAGGTAGTCCTCTTTCTTTCTTGTCTTTTATGTCATGGGAAAATATATCTGTAGAAATTCCAATGCCAGTTCCCTTAAGTTTATAAGACTTTTTTAAAATCAAATCTCTCTGTTGTGATGATTCAAAGTAAACGAGAATGGGTCTTGGCTTTGCATTTGGACAGTCTCTTTGCTGCCCCAGTCTTTGGGCAAACTCAATTTTAATAGTGCTTTGTGCCTCTGAGAACCCCATTTTATCTATTAATATTTTGTAAACGATGCTTTCAGTTTTTTCAAGCCTCTCTTCAGGCACATTTAGAAACCTAAGACTCGCTTTGTTTCCTGGATGGCCTATCTGCTTAATGTAGTCATGTATGTCCCGAGTTTCTCTTCTGGACTGTACAAATCCAGTTCGCAATTGTTCAATTTCATTTTGTACAACTTCTACACTACTAGAAATTTCATCAATTGATTGTTTCAGAGCATTAACATGCCCTCTTAATTCAGAGAGTTCTGTTTCAATTTGACTTATTCCCTGAAGCTCTTTAAAGATCATTTCCATAACATCATGGGTTTGACTAATACAACCTGTTGAACTAAAGCCAGGTTCAAGAGTATTTGATTTCTGGTGACGGCCAGTTCTGTCTAGAGATTTACTTCTTAAGCCCCATGTTTTCTTCCATGTACCTAGTTCTGAGTCCGATGAGACACATTCTTGGCTCTTCTTCCATTTCCTTAGTTTTCGTAAAGCTCCCAGCTTCAGTGTGTGTAAAGTGCGTTCTCCATCAGAACTTCCATCAGATGGTGCAAGGCTGCTTAAGCTTTTTCTGTTGCGTCTCACAGGCATTGTGTGTGGTAAGTATTCGTTTTTCTTACTGTTACTTTTTACTTCACTTAATGACTCAGAATATGAACTATCATTTGAAGACAGATCTTGAACTATATCTTCATTATTATTGTTTGTTACAAAAATATGCTTTTGCAGTCCATTGGCAATAGCAACTCTGTAACTGAATGTTGGAGAAAGTGAAAATTCTCTATTACTTTCCTCTTCTTCAGTTGATAAGTTGCGAGCAGATGGACACTTGGCAATCTTTTTAACAGTGCTTTTTAAAGTATTCGAAAATTTTGGATTCTTTGTTTGTCCAATCGGAGTTAAGTCTTGTTCCTTTTTGCTCTGACAACTCTCTTTCCTTTTTGTACTATTTCCCGATTTCCTTGTAAACATTCCTTTGCAAATCTTATATATGTAAGACGAGATCAGGCTCTTTAAGAGGGCAGAAACCATGGAGTGTAATTTATATTAAGCTGTTTCCACAAAACACAATTGTTGATCCAGACAAGTATTTGTATCTCCAACAGGATCATCAGCAAATATTTCATCAACAGAAACTATAGACATATAAAATACCGATGTTCTGGTATCATTTGACAGAGAAAAAAAAAAAAATCGCACATCTGCTTGTTCAAAACCAAATCCTGAAGGGGGTTTTGTATGTCTTGCAAAATCTCAGTCTGTTGCGCATGGCTTCTTGAAGTGTCTAAAAAGGAGGGAATGACATTACAATGGCTGCCAAACAAACTTGTCATTCAATAATACTGATGTTGTTTTAACTGGGTTACAATGGAAACACAGAGCAGTTAAGCATTTATTTATACTTTCCCCATAATTGTCTGAATAGAATGTTGCATGAACAATTGAAGCTGAAAGCAGTTCTAGGCAAATATTTTTACATAAATGAATAAGCTATACTTATTTACAGGCTTCTTTGTCCAGTTTAATTCTCCGAGATATTTGGTATTAATGCCTTCTACTTTCCTTCAGAGTAATGACACTTCAATTTAGATCCATATGATATACAGCAGTGGTCAAAAAACTGACAGGGGAACAAGTTGTTACTAGCTAGTAAAATAGAAGTAGAAAGGTGTCTCTTGGTTCATATTTGGAGCAAGGTAGCATTCTGTGCAACAAATCAGTATTGTATCCACGAAGTACTGTTCTATCTTGAGATTGAATTATGCACATGACTATGGTTTGAGAAATAGATGCTTTCATTTTATATGAGACTTTAACACGTTATGGTAAGCCAGGACTTAAAGTGGGCATACCTCCTTGGTTTCTCCTCTTTAAGAGGAAAAAAACCACCCCAAACTATAGAAAATAACAGAAAATCATAATGACAGCTGATGGAACATGCTCACCCAGGTTACTAAATTTTACATTGTTCTGGTCACAGAAAAAAAAAACCCAAAACACCCCACCCTACACAAAACAAGAGGAAGAGGGAGAAACAAATAGGATTTGTAAGTCTTAGGACAAAAACAGATGCCATTACAACAGGAAAGCAATTTGATCTAAAATACATTGAAGAAAAGATTTCATGATGAGGTATTTGGAAGCTTCTATTCCGTAAAACAAAAGGTTGTATTCCATAGAAATGTAGTCAATGCATTTTAAACATATAAATATACTTTTTTGTACAGCATATCATTCATGTCCCAGTCTTATAGCTGCAGAATAAAAACAAGACAAATAGCTCAGAAAAATCCAACAAAGTAGTAGTTCCTTAAAATGGCCACTTCAGTTCTTAAACCAGCTAAAAATTCTTTGGCAGAATAAGAAGCATATTTAGATACAGGGTATATGAAGGGTTAAAACTTGCTCTGTGTTGTCTTAAGAGGAGTAAAGGATATGAACTGTTCTCCTTGTCTGCAAACAGCATGGCGCTGTATGAAACCTTATGGTCCCCTCACACACCCCAAGATCTGGTCTTTTCATTACAGAGTTTTTCTTCACTGATATTTCTATTATACTCATGTTATGGTCAATAATAAACACTAACTACTGATTCATACCGCAGCAGCAAAATGCACCCTGTTGAATAGAGCCCAAGCAAAGCTGGTAAAAGCCTGGTTGGCTTTTAGAATCCTGGAACAGAGGATGTAAACAGACTTATTTCTTTTCCAGTTATAACAAAATTGGGATACAGCACAAGAGCAAGCAGAACAGACAACATTCTTCATCCTTCCTAAAGTCGCTGCCTGTTATTTTATAAAAGGTGAAATATTTGTGGAACATGAATCACATTTTTAACATACGTGCAACAGCATAGCTCTTGTGACTTCTTTTTCTTCTAGTCTTATGCCTGAAGTCAGAGTATTAAGAGTGAATTAAGAGCAAGCAATGTTTGGAAGCAAAAGAATGCTCAATGAGACTGCACACAATTTTCAAGGCATGCAAACAGCATCTCTCAGAATGTTACAAAGCTCTCACTGGAGCCACGGCTGCCTTGTTTTCACATACTATTAGTGGAGAAAGGAACCATCCTGGGACACTTTTCAGTATCAAAGGCATGTTTCTAGATGTAGAAACACTTGTTAACCATTCAGCTCTTACACTGAACGTTTGTAACCATTTGTTGAACAGATCTGAAGTGTGACTGCCTGCCTCCTCTGCCCACACAACCATAGCTTTTTAAGTGCCCTCTTGTACAAACTTCACTCAGATGACTTGGACATTCTTCTCATTGAAAAGACTTCAAACCAACAACGTATGAACAAGCTAGAAGGCTTGTTTACTGGTTCAGCCTCCAAAACATCAAGAAATAATGAAATTATCATTGGAATCTGGAACATTTCCATTCATTTTAAATAAGGTTTAATTCTTCTCTGTAGAAGAATCTTCATTTCACAGACAGCCATATGTATGTTTTATCCAATGCCTAACCTATGCTTTTTATCAGAGATAATTGAAAGTATTATAAATAGCTGCAGATTCAGTACTCAACTTATTTAAACCCAGTTTCTGACAATGCCATAGTAAATTAAAAATTGTACTGTTACAAAAACACACAGATCTGCTAAATGGAGCAGATTTATGTTCTCTCATGCGAGTTCCATTCCACCTCAGCTATATTAGTCATATGATCTGTTCATCAGTTTAGAGCCTACCATTGCTCTGTCAAATACTCATTTTCTAAAATTGTATATCTACACATGGAATCAAGTTTGAGTCATTATAGGTCTTATCCATTACTTTTTGTAAAGGTTTGTATTGGGTTGTTCTTACCATTTTAAATCACTGTAGGCTAAAACTCTACGAAATAAGGAACAGTCTTTTGAGAAGCACATAGGACTAAGTGAATTACTTGAATGAGCTGCCAGCTGTCATTCAGTGATTTTCTGCATTTATCCAGGTCTCCCAATAAACCATCATGACCCTGTTTTTTATTTTCACTTTGCTTGTTTATTGACTTAAATCAATTTATCTGATAAAGTTGAACACAGATGAGTTAACCCATTCTAAGATAAGGAATCAAGTTGAAATGTTACAGAAGTAAAGTACAGACTTCACGCTAGGTGGTTATAGAGCACGAAATGGGAAAGTGTTATGGATTATGAGATTAGAAATAAAAGAAATTGTTAATGCGTTCCTTCTGTAAAGAAAGAACACAATGACACTTCCTTCAATTTAACCCATAGCAAGTCTGAATATAGACTTTTGTCAAACAACTTCATGGTGAACAGGTAATTTGGATTGATTTCAAGGATACTGTTGATAACAAAGCATTGTCAAAATAAAACTTATCAGTTGGAAGCATCAGGTATAAAGGATCTTATTCCCAAGTCTAAAAATAATGTGTTAGGTAGAAGGGGGCAGAGTGGGTCGGGTTAATGATAGCTTTTTAAATAATGCAAGCAGTGTATTTTAGTTACATGTCTGAACACCAGATCCTCATAGATTCCCTATTTTTTTTTTCATTTTATCAAATCCAGCCCTCTATTTTTATAAAGAAAGAAAATTAAATAATCTTAAAAAAATAATTTCAGTATTTAAAAAGAATAGCTAGATCACTGCTGACCTTCTGTTCAGATCCCAGTAAATGAAACTGTAGAGCAGCAGCCCTCTCCATAATGAGGTAGCTTTGCGGATGCAGACTGTCCCCCCCAAAAAGCAAGAAACAGGCAGAACCATAGCCCTGCTTAACCTTTACACTATTAATAAAGTGCAAGGGGCCTGTGTGTGTTGGAAGGGGACAGGGAAGAAGATGAGACTAAAGTGCCGTCTCCCTCTGTAAAAAGGCATACAGCAGTCTGTTCACAACACCAAGACAGTAGGGGAAAACAAAACAAAACCAAAAAGTCTTTCTCCGCAGCAATACCACTCTGCAGTACTGGCAAAGTGGTCATTGCTGCCTATGGGCAGCAACATCTATTTGTGATACGCAAAATGCTTCACAGAAATGAATAATCACACATGACAAACAAAATGTAAACAATCCACTTTGCAGCCGCAGAAACTGAGGCTGAGAGGTTCTCTTACTATCAGAAACATAAGGAATCAATACCAGAATAACTAGAATTCAGATCTACAGATTTCTCAAGTATGGTCTTTGACTAGTCTTGTGGTCGCCTAGGAATAAGGTTATCCTGACATAACTGTACTTAGCATCAGTGTATGTCTGTTGGGTGAAACCTGCGCTACCTTTCTTTAGACAAGCATAACTGTGTATACTCCAGATTGCTTCATCAGTTTACTGTGACAGTAGCATTATACTGACGATCACCTCAGATGATCTAATTCAGAAGAACTGAATTTGGAACAATTATCTGCTCCTTCATATTCTTCTTAAATTCCCCTTATATTCTTAAATAGTGGCATTTTTGATCTGTGTTACTGGTGAGTCTCCCGAGGTAAAGTGATACTCATTTTAATACTGCACATGCTACATAGATGACCTGCCTGCAGACCCTGGCAAAGACAAGGACAACAGCAAGAAGGTTGTTCTGCTTTCTCTTTTGGATAACTACTCTTTGTTCCAGGAAGTCCTCAGGTTTTCACCAGCAGAGTTTTGCTCTATGCCATCACCCCCTCCAACATTCACAGGAGAGCATGGAGTGCTATCAGCACTCTCTCCTTTTGGCTAGAAAGCTATTCCTGTTGTCCGTCAATATCACTGTTTATTTATCTGGTGACACTTCTTTATGGATCCTGCTATTAATGTATCTAACCACCATTAAACACGTTGCCTTTCTATTTATGTGGAATGTTACCAATACAACTAACCACCAAATTGCTGTTTAAAACCCCAGGCTGAAGAGACTACAGCCTGCTGGTTTTTTAACCCACAAGGCCTACTGCTGTCCTGAAGAGCTTGCACATAGCTCGTCAAGTACGCTATGGAATCCAATCTAAATATTTAACAGTCATACTGCAAGACTGGTCATTTGTAGCTGTTACTTGACTTATCTGTTCTTAATTAAGCATACAACTTAATCAAGTTTAAGGATAACAACAGATGCAAATAGCACACGCTTAAAACTGACTTTGGCTCATTGTGATTTAGAACAGCGTCTGAAACAGAAGCCACATATAGAACTCCGTATATTAGTGAATTAACTCAGTGGTTTAACAATTATTTGCAATTAAACTACTTCATAATATATAGAAGCATATTGTCTTCAGGACCGCTTAGAAGAAAATGTAAATTCCCAGCTAGCTGGGATGAGTAGTTGTTCTGGAGAGAAAAGTCGTCTTCAC